GGGGTTCATGTTTTCTATGATTGTCACTTGATACAGCCTATGGGTGTACGAAGATACACCTGTGGGGATACGCTGTTTGAGCCGAGCGTCATCACAGCCACTCTCGGTGACTCTCCCGCGGAATGCGTACAACACTACTGCGCAAGTGGTGGAGTGCGTACAACACTACTGTGCAATGTTGGTTTCAGGAAGTGGAGAAAAAATGTGGAATTACCGAGAGCTTTTTGGCTTCAAATCTGTATACTGGCGGGAGGCGGAACCAAGTTGTCCATAATATATACAGTCTATGTGTATGACCAAGGATCTCTAAGTCTTCATTTACATTTTCCCAATAATGACTTGTCATGGGTTTTCACATTTTTTTAGTAAGACAAATGTGTGATGTTCTTACATTTGTAAAATGATAGCTGTAAACTTGTACCCGTAATTGTCGTGTGAATGTGATTTTTGATAAATTACACTAAAACAAAACAAAATTGTGGAAATATAGTGCTCTGTTTCAGATTTATATACCATAACATTCTAAAAGGTTGTGGACTAAAGTGGGCTGGTCTGTGCAAGAAAGTCCTGTACTGAAAATGAAATCCATATGGAAGACATTTCATGTGAATTCACGACAGAAAAGGAGGTGATTCAACAGAAGAGCTGAATAACTTCATCAGGATGCTACACGATCCACTGCACAGATGCTTTTAAATGCAGCGGCACTAAATCCAGTCAGCAGCAGACAGTAGCCTGTGGAGCTCTCTTCGTGTCCATTTACTGCGAATCCTCATTTCATCTAGAACAACACAGAATAAAACATTGGATACAAAGCATGCTAGTTTGAAATAACAGCATCTTTACAAAAATACCACCAAAGAGACCTATAGACCCTTTAATGAAGAGGAAGGTGGTTGCTGAGGAGGAAGAGAGACAGCTTTGGCCTTCTCGTTAAATCACTTGTAAGCAAAGGAAAAAAAAAAAAAAAAACTCAATAATCATTCAATAAGGAGGATACAATGTGCATTTGTTCAGTAATGATACACAAAGCCTCACGGTAAGAGTATATTATGTATAAGAATAACAACCAGTCCACTTACAACATCAAGAGAGGAAGGAACGGGAAGTAGGTCAATCCAAGAAGTATATTTTCTCTGCATCATATTCCAAAGTAAATTTTTGGGAAGGTAGTACATTATTCCTCTTTAGGGCCTATAAAAAGCTTTTGTAGATTAGTTTTAGCTCTAAAAGGGAACTTGTGGACACTGTGTATATTTTCAAAAAGCTGTTGAAAACCCATTTGTTTACAATCGCTTTGGTATGACCAGGGGCCTGTTCTACGAAGCAAGTTTGACCTAGCGAGGTAGCCTTGGAGCTACCTCGCTGAACTTAACGCGGTAGCCAGCGGTCTCGCTAAACGGTCTTACGACACTGGTTATCAACCTCGTAAGTGGATCCAGCTTTGCTATGAGCGCGTGCACGCAGGTAAGGCAGAGCCCGTCGCATCGGACCGATCGCGAACATGGACCAGTCTGGAGCGTCAGAGCCGGCCAGAGAGCGAAAGACCGCAGAAAATTGCAGACAGTCTCAATGCGTAAATATAATGCGCAAAAAATCTTTGATGCCATTATAACCCTGAAATAGCACTGTTCAACATGCGCTTTTAACATGCACCAGACATGTCTAATTTATTTCCAAGATGAATTCATTCATTTGTTCATTCCTATCATGTTTACATTTTTTGAGCCTTTCATAAAGGTGGTCATCCAGAAAAGTAAGTGGGTCCATGCAGTCCCTGAAAACTCTCGCGCGCCGGAGTGCTCCTCGAACAATGCCAGCACCAAGGTCTATAGGATCCTCCAAGAACAGACAAGCCATTTTTTGAGAGAGCTCATTGGTCAGTGGGTGGGGTTTTTATACTCGGTGAGTTCAATCTGGAACCTAACCTGCCCCAGAGCAGGTTAGCCGTTCAGCGTACGTTGCCATGGAGACTCACCTCGCTAAGAAGTGAACCCGTGTCGTAGAACAGGAAACCCCGAACTTACCCTCGAAGTTACCTTGCTAAGCAGTAATCCTGCTTCGTAGAATAGGCCCCGGGACTTTGGCTGCAAGTGTACTTTTTGTTTAGGTTTATGTCTTGTTGTCTGACCCTTTTTATTTTGATGACTATAAAGCACTTTGTGACAACTGTTCAAGAAAAGTGCCATACAAATAAAGTTTATTATTATTATTATTATTATTATTACTATTATTGTTGTTGTTAAAAGGCTTAAAGGATGGTACCAGGGTTGAAAAAAGGAGGTATTCAGTCCCCTCTGTGGCTCCTACCATCACCTGCAAGCTACAAGGACTGATAATGCTGTGCACAGGACATGAATATGGATCTTTAGAAAAGTTTAAGATAGATAGATAGATAGATAGATAGATAGATAGATAGATAGATAGATAGATAGATAGATAGACTTATCTTTAAAAAAGTTCAAGATATATACTTGAACCTGTGTAAACCTATGACCACATGTTACTCTGGAAATGATATTTGCGTTTCCCCCCCAAACCTTTATTATCCCAGGTTTATATTGACAGCTAAACCGGATGTTGTAGAGCTTTTGTAAACCGCAATAAATTTGACATTTCCAGCCCATGCTTCACCGTCTCGCGCACTGTCCTGCAACCGGTGTATTCTCCACCCTGAAACCCAGATCCTCTCCTCAGAGTAATTGTCTGATTTATTGGAGTTTTCAGTAGCAAGAAAGAAAGGGGGAAAAGAAATATTAATTTAAAAAGTCTGGATGATCAGCTTGAAGTGATCGCCACCTGTAGGAGAAAGGTCGGGCAGAGGAAACACTTTCTGCGTGGGTAATGGAGTGGGGAACGGAAACTGAAAGTCGACAAAATAAGAGGTCTAGTGCCAGGTCAAATAGAATACACTAGGGTAGAATATCTTGATATTGTTATTGTAAATGTACAATGAAATGGGAGGCATTCCTATCAGGTGCAAACAAAACACAGCAAAAAATAAAAGTTATACAAATAAATAGGCGAAGTTCTGAACAGAAAGGAAAATCAAAACAAACCATTTGAGACAGTTGCTGTATGTTGGTATAGCAGCAGTAGCACTAACGAGAGTACCGACATCCTGATGAAAAGCGATTAAAGGAGACGAAACAGCAGATGAATATGGTCTCTTATTTAGGGGGTGAGAGGGGTGTAAAATTCAACCTGCCTGATGATTAAGTCGCAATGCTTCGTGTGGTGGTTCTTTCCTTTTCTTTGGTTGGTTCGTGTTTATTTAGGATAACAATCTCGCATTTTTCAGTGAAATGACAGAGCATTACCTGCACCAGCACCATGCTCCAGCCACAATGAGTAGATTTGAAATTTAACACCTTACACGGTTGGAAATAATGACGTAACAGCCGCCGTCCAAAATGAATATATCCAATCATAGAAGCTGATGGGAAGCGCCAACAGCAGAGGGGACCAATCCTGTTCCGGTATGGGCGGGACTTCAGCATGTACTGTAAACTGAATGAGATTGTGTGGCGTAACCATAGAACAGTGGTTCTCAACTGGTGGGTCCCGACCCAAAAGTGGGTCCCAGACACGTTCTGGATGGGTCGTGAACAGCTGATCAAAAAAGTAAATATTTAATACGCATCTGATGTTTGACATGTTTTTTTATTTTGAAAAATAGCTTATTTTGAAAGGCACGCATCATGTCATGGTCCTCCTCGGTTTCTTATTAATGTGGCCTGAATGCAGTAAAATTACATGTTTTTCATGGTCTTTATTTTGTGCAATTTGATATTTATTCACTTTTGTCAATGCTGTTGCTCGGTCCTCCTCGTGTTCTTCTGAATATGCTCTGAACGCAGAGATGCAAATAAGTCAAATGTTTCATTTTGCTTGTCTCCATTGTGTGCAATTTGATATTTGATATTTTCTGTATACGAAACTTAAGTAGTTGTCGCCCTCAGTTCATGTGCTCTGAAATGCACTTTATTCAACAAAATAGGAGTATTTATGTCAAAGATTTGAGTCTGTAAAGGTTCGTTTTTTATAAAAAATTAATTTGCCTGGTTTGAATTTTATAAAAGTGGGTTGCCACATAAGGACCATAAAAAAGTGTGGGTCCCAGAGTGAGACCAGTTGAGAACCACTGCCATAGACTGTAGGCCTATATATACATATACTATCTATGAGTGTAGAGTGAATATATGCCCTCTTTTTTTATTTTTTATTTTTGCTGAAAACGTTATGTTGAGCGAAACTGAAAGTCAAATGGTGGAAATGTGAATAACTACAGCTGTGATGAAACAGCTGAAGGGGAGATGCTGCCCTCCCTTGGAAGGCCAGAGTAGTGTCAGCCTGCCAGCTAAGGAGTTCAAATTGGATTCAGTCCTTTTCAAAAGAGCAAAAAGTATGACCCTCTCTTCGCTAAAAAATGAGTTTGTGTTTTGAAAGATCACACATTTTTACCTGTCCCAAATAACTGCAAACACTTTTCAATATGACAAGGTTTCTATTGTTCCTGTACTCTGCTACCATTCAATATCAATTCTGACAAAAATAGCTGTCTTAAATTCATAACAATGCCTTATTATATAAATTAATATAAATTTCTCCACCATGGGATGAACAGAGGTTTATTTCCCGGTGTTACCTCATATTCTTCCATAACTGCAGGACAGAAATCCAAAAGTCTCGTGATAATGTTTTTCTGCCCAAAAAATGTTTCTGTTCACATTTATTTGATTAAACGCTCATTCCAGTCATATTGTTCTTTTTTTTTTTTTAACAAATGTTGAACTTGCAACTGACTTCACCTTAATCCATGTCATCTCCATTCTGTGATAGATAGATAGATAGATAGATAGATCTGACTAAAAAAAGAACAAAAAACAGTCTATTATATAGGCCACATTAAAATCCAAATAATAATACCATATCATTATCAAAATAAAGAACATTTATTTCACATTAATTCATACTTATTCTAAATTGTTATAAACTCATCATTCCTCAGTTTTCACTCCAGACAAAATAAGAGCTTTGGTTTCACAAATGTAGTGCCGCTGGCCTCGACAGACAACATCATCCCAGGAGTTCAGCCAGCCTTTCTGTCCAACAGTCTTTGGAGGGACAATGACAACACAGTCCTGTCCTGCACGGTCTTTGTCCCATTGAGCCACAGCATTGTTTGGCTCTCCAGGCATCCAGAACTTCAAATCTGACTTGGACTTGATACCATTTACCCACACAAATCTGTTATCCTGCACCATGTCCTGCAACCCGATCCATGCTGAATGGAACAGTACATTTGGATGCTGCTGTGTAAACTGGAAAGTCATGTTGGTCAGAAATGCCTGGTCTGCAGCATTCAAGACAACAGCCAGGTCAGCACCTTCATTAAAACACTCCCTACGAGCATCTTCCCACTTCATTGGTTGTGATGCCAAATGGAAGCAGCGTGTGGCGTGCTCAGCCCAACCAGGAAGACAGCGTGAACATTGCAGGGTGCCTTTATCACAGAATCTCCAGAGGAAAGATAGTTTCTCCGACATCAGAATTGATTGTTGACGTTGATTTTCAGCTTTTAGTTGAGTTGAGGTCTGCCTTTCATTGATCAAAAGCTGTTGATATTTGATTTTGTCTTTTCTGAAAGAGTCACGGTTTTCCATAGTAGAATTCAATATGATTTTCATCTCCTCAATCTGCACTTGAAGCTGTGACTTTTCTGCCATGGTGTGGTTTAGTCTTCGACTCAGTCTCTGATTTTCTTCCATGGAGTAGCTCAGACTCAGGCTCAGTTTTTGATTTTCTTCCTTGGTGTGGTTTAATCTTTGGCTCAGATTCAGATTCTCTTCCATGGTGTAGTTTAGTCTTCTGCTCAATTTCTGATTTTCTTCCATGGTGTTGTTCAGACTCAGGCTCAGGTTCAGATTCTCCTCCATGGTGTAGTTCAGACTCAGCCTCAGTTTTTGATTTTCTTCCACGGTGAAGTTCAGACTCTGGCTCACTTTTTGATTTACTTCCATGGTGTGGTTTAGTCTTCGGCTCAGTCTCTGATTTTCTTCCATGGAGTAGCTCAGACTCAGGCTCAGTTTTTGATTTTCTTCCTTGGTGTGGTTGAGTCTTCGGCTCAGTTTCAGATTATCTTCCATGGTGTAGTTTAGACTCAGGCTCAATTTCTGATTATCTTCCATGGTGTAGTTTAGTCTTCTGCTCAATTTCTGATTTTCTTCCATGGTGTTGTTCAGACTCAGGCTCAGGTTCAGATTCTCTTCCATGGTGTAGTTCAGACTCAGCCTCAGTTTTTGATTTTCTTCCACGGTGAAGTTCAGACTCTGGCTCACTTTTTGATTTACTTCCATGGTGTGGTTCAGTCCCATGTGTGTTGATTCTAGAAGCTGTCTCAGCTGACTCCTTTCTTTCTGTAACTGCTTAACATTGATGCTCAGGCCAACAATGACAGTGATTAGGACTAAAAGCAGCACCAGGAAAACGACATGAAGAGTGCCTATCCAGCCAGATTGAAGTCTCTGTATGATGCGGTTATCAATCTCCTTTTTCTCTGTCTCATCTTGATCTGGTCTGTCTTGAAGTCTCTGTATGATGCTGTTATCAATCTCCGTTTTCTCTGTCTCATCTTGATCTGGTCTGTCTTGAGCCATTTCCTCCACAGAGCTTTCAGATGGGAAGCTAAAAGAAAAAGATGAGAAGCACTGAAGATCTTGTTGTAAAGGGTCTGAAAGCTAAGTCTTTCTGTACAATATCTGTCATTCACAAACTGATGTGCACAAATCTGAGACATGATAAATATTGGAAAATTCCAAATACTCTCATTCTCTGAGTCGTCTGAATGAGCTGTATGAATGTCAGCAGTTCTGACCCGACCCAAACTGTTGGTATCTACACAAACAGAGCCTTAACCTCCAAACACATGACTTCATTTCAATAAAGTTAGGGCGCTGTGTACATACTTTATTTCAGTCTGTTAGTATATGACACATTCAATACAAACAAGGAAAAATTTTCATGTGAATGAAAAGGAGCAGAAAGAAAAAGGTTGAGGCGCGGTTTTATAGAAACACCTTCACACAGGGACCCCTTGAACCGTTTTTTTCTCCTTACCTTAGGTGGACGTGCTGTGGATCCGTCATTTCGCCGTGGGTTTCCTCTGACATGTTTTCCATCTTTGCTTTTCGCTTTCTTCCACGTTTTTACCAGTAGGTCTATGTTTCACTTTGAAATATCCAACTTCAGTTTTTTAAAACTAAACAGTTGATTCAGTTGCCATGACAGCCACTGCAGAGTCGTATTTTTAAATAATTTTAAATAATTTAATACTAATGATTATTAGTATAGTAGAGGCACCTGAACAGCAGCAGAAATAGCCTTGGTTGTGTCTAAATTTAATAATCTTTACATTAAGTGTAGCTACTCGCTGAAAGGTTCAAACGATACCCTGGACAGCTGCTCTACTTCCACTTAGTAACACGAGATGAAAGCCGTGATGATGTCATAATGATGTCATCACGGAATTGTTCCTTTGATGCCATATTCTCTTGTTGTTTGTTTACATTTGAATTTTTCACATTTAAATGTAAAAAAAAAAAGCACACCCTATAACAATCATGTATTTTTCAAACCTGCTGTTAACCCACATTGATTTGAGCTGTTTTTGTAATAGATGCTTTATGAATTGATATGTATTGATGGGTTAAATAAGAAAACTTAGTATGACACACCAGCTGTTAAACTGAACTTTACAGACGCCATCTTGCCTGTGTACTTCTGTCCATTGTTGAACCAAAATTAAAAAATAGTTCTCTTTAAATGTACAAATCATATTTACTCATGAAGATAAAGTCATTATTGATTATACATTGCAGATATACTTTCCCCTGAACTCTATATTAATCAGTTATCCAAAAGCTTGTCCTCTGCTGATGAAAAGTGAAAACAAGAGTCCTGCAAGGATTAAAACTGACATGGGCCTACTTAACATGCGAAATTCAGAGAAATTTTAGCACTTTTTGACAACAGCAAGAGTAAATCAGAATTAACTCTCATTGGGACACACAAACCCCTCCACCACGGTAAGGTGGTAGCTCGAGGAGGGGGATAAAAACCCTCCCATGGGACGGAAAACCGCAAGGTTTATTTTATCTTTTGTGTGAAAAACACCGGGTTATGGGTGCTTTTGTTTGTTGTTTTTTAATTTTCTTTCCAGTAGTTTTTTTTTTTTTTTTTTTTAGAATTTTTTTTTTTTTTCCCATGTTGATGTTTTTTTTTTCTTTTTTGTTTTTTCATCAGTTGTCTTAATTTATTTTTGTTTTTGGAGATTTCTTTTTGAAGAGTTTTTTTTTTTTTTTAAGTACTTCCTTACTTCGGGGAAGTTACTTCTTCCACTTCTCAGGCTTTCTTAACCCCAAGAATCAGAAATATTTCTTTTTTGTTTTTTAGTTTTCTTAGGGTGTTTTTTTGTTGTTGTTTTTTTTTTTTTGTTTTCAGAAATACTCTTCTTTTTCTTTTTTTTAGTTTTCTCTTTTTTCTGCCTGTTTTAAGGGTTTTCGACCTAGGCTCCCTCTCACCCTACCTTAAAGAGGTCGTCACTAATCTGGGAGTTAAATTTGACCCTGATTTTAAATTTGACAAGCAGATCAGCGGGGTGGTACAAAAAAGTTTTTATCAGCTACGCCAAATAGCGAAGGTGAAGCCCATTTTATCAAGACCTGACCTGGAAAAATTAATCCATGCTTTTATCACTACCCGTCTTGATTACTGCAACTCCTTGTACGTAGGGATTAGCCAGGCTTCCCTTGCCTGCCTGCAGCTTATGCAGAACTCTGCTGCACGTCTCCTGACACAGACCCGCAGGCGTGAGCACATCACCCCCATCCTGGCGTCCTTACACTGGCTCCCTGTTCAGTACAGAATTCATTTTAAGCTTTTAGCATTTGTTTTTAAGGGCCTGAACAACCTTGCTCCACCCTATATTTCGGAGATGCTACAGCCTTATTGCCCACCCCGACCCCTAAGATCAGCTGATCAGCTTTTACTGACCGTCCCCAGTACAAGGCTGAAGCTCAGAGGGGACAGAGCATTTGCCGCTGCTGCCCCTAAGCTCTGGAATGAGCTTAGGGGCAGAGCCATGCCAGAGCCACCACTAGCCATAATAAGGAGGGGGTGGGTGAGGGTGGGAGGGTTACTCAGTTCACTTATTTATGCTTTTTAGGGTGCTGCACATTACATGGTACTGTTTCCAAGCTAAGCCTGAACTGCTTTTCACAAACTTTGAGAAAGTCAACTGGCCAAACAGTCTTCCTTAAATTCCTTCAGAGTATGGGTCATCAGCTGTACACACAGAATATATATACTCTTCATGTAAACACGTAGAAAGAGTCAAACTCGCTAACTGCATTACTTTGAGTCAATAACATCCAGAATATTTTCTTACAATAAGAGACTGAACTTCTGTCAGGCATATTTCTGGTGGATTGCCTTAAAATTATCAGTATAAAATGCTCTTATCTCTTTAGATGAACATAAATGCCAGCAAAATACAGATGTGGTTAATCTAATCCCAGTCCCAGTTTTGGTCAAACAGAAAAAAACTTCACAGGCTGTGAACTTTAAGAAGAAATCACACCAAATGCAGTGCCAGGGTGCCTCCAAACAGGCAAAGTGCAGACTGAGAGCTGTTCAAAGTCAAAAGCTGCATTTCTTTTCATAAAGGAGATCACATTCCTGATTTATGACATCTGCTGATCCTTTCCTGCTATTTAACACTAGATGTCTTTTCTTTGGGTCTTTTTTAGCAGAGAAAAACATCCCTCAACATTAGCTTGATCGATTCTTCGCTCTTTTTTTTTCTTTACATTAATAAATAGGATGTCATTTTAGGTCCACTCTTGACAGGGTAAGCAGCCTGAAAAAGCACCGACGTCTTGTCCGACTTGCTTCCAATGACTTTGACCGGCCTGGTATTCTCATGCTGGGTACAAACGGGGCACCACCCGGGCAGTTCTCCTGGACAGCGGGAAGACTCGTGTTTCCCTTCAGCACCATCGTTTCATGAGTCCCCCAGAGTTAAAGACCGGGAGCCCGACTTTCCAACAGCACAAACTCCTCCATCCACTTTTAACCTCTTCTTTTTCAAACACAGCCCCGGGTTAGAAGCTAGCGAATGCTGCAGTCGCTTGGACTCCATATGCATCGTCCTTCTGTCCGCCCTCCTCCTCCTCCTCCTCTTCCTCTAGGCGTCTTGACACGGGACCAGAGAATGTGAAGCCCCGCATAGCCCCTGCTGACACTTGCTTTTCAGCGCCATAACCGCTCAAAAGTCTTTGGACAGTCAACTCACATGTTTCGTCTAGTTCCCCGAACATGAAATCCCAAAAGGTAGCCGAGGAAAGGGCCGTTATTCCCGGGGATTCAAAGTCGTGCTGCGCGCTCCCGCTGCAGTATGAGGAAGCAGGGAGGGTGTGGTCGGAGCTGAACGGCTGCTGGACTGGCTGAAGTTCCAGGAAGGGAACGGCACAACTGACCCTTCGCCGAAATTTCACTTCCCGGCGGTCAGTGAAGAAGTTTCTTTCTCATGTTAACGACGTCGCGGAGGTGGAACCAGTTTTACAGTAACAAAGAGCACTGCGTACTTTTCTCGCCGCTCCGACTTTCAGGGCTGGCCGCTGATCTGCCGTGAGACATCGCTGCTTTATAAAGCCAACCAAAGGCGGAGCCAGCGACACAAGAACCGGAAAGAGGCTCTTCAAAATAAAAGCTGTTGACTTTTACAGTGTGAGAGAGCGCCACAACTCAGCACAGAAGTCCAGAGGGGTTAGTCTGGATGTGAGAAAGAGAAGCTACAGTAAGCTGTATGAAATATGTCAGATGATTTAATGATACAGCACTGTACAGTAAAAATGGTCTGACCTCGTGATACTTGAATAAATAAAACAAAACAAGAGAGTTTGAATGACATAATGTATGACCATAGACTGTATAAAGAATGGACAGCATCTGCCTCCTCGCTGGGTGAAGCCGTTCCGAAAACAGCACCCTCTGGTGACGGGCTGCAGTATAGGTCATAAATCCCGCCTCCTCCAGCAATCCATATGAAGCTGTGGACAAACTTTAGAAATTTATTCCACAGAACACAAATATTTCTCCCCCCTGGTTGTGATGTAGTTACTGTACTTTTTCTGTGCAGCTCCATTTTTAGACGTTATTAGGGGGTTCATGTTTTCTATGATTGTCACTTGATACAGCCTATGGGTGTACGAAGATACACCTGTGGGGATACGCTGTTTGAGCCGAGCGTCATCACAGCCACTCTCGGTGACTCTCCCGCGGAATGCGTACAACACTACTGCGCAAGTGGTGGAGTGCGTACAACACTACTGTGCAATGTTGGTTTCAGGAAGTGGAGAAAAAATGTGGAATTACCGAGAGCTTTTTGGCTTCAAATCTGTATACTGGCGGGAGGCGGAACCAAGTTGTCCATAATATATACAGTCTATGTGTATGACCAAGGATCTCTAAGTCTTCATTTACATTTTCCCAATAAACTTGTCATGGGTTTTCACATTTTTTTAGTAAGACAAATGTGTGATGTTCTTACATTTGTAAAATGATAGCTGTAAACTTGTACCCGTAATTGTCGTGTGAA